TGACAAGTTCACATTTCATTCTCAGTTTAATATGATCGCCTTCACACTATTGAGCTTCTTATGTTTTCACAAATCACTCTGCCAATCAGCAATATTCCATACTTGATGTTTCTCAAACATCTACTTTTCTTCTACTCGTCCTCTTTTTACCGTTTATCATTTTTCCATTCCCAGACAAAGTGCCAACCTCTCGAACAGTTATTTGTCGATTTTTTTCGATAATTATTTCAAATTTAACCTTCAAATTTAGGTGCTTGCTCAAGTCGACGCAAATATTTGAGGTTTGAAACGCTAATTCCCTAGTCGGTACAATGATCAGTGACTGTGGATATTTCTTCTCAACATCGATTTTGTCAATACAAGGGATACAATAGGCACCTGTTTTACCTGTACCGTTCTTTGCACGTGCCAATATATCCTGACCTGGAATTTTTTTCAGTCGATTTAAAGACTATCCTAGGTTGAACATTACCAAGCTCTCAAAACTTGAACCGAATGGAATTCACCTTTCACTACTTCTTTTGCTGTTAATTCGTAGAATAATAAATCTTTATTACAATTTCCTAGAAATTATGAGAAAAGATTTCGACATCACAAGAATCTTCTCTAAACAAAAAATTACCTGATAATGCAATTGAAATGGATGCCTCCTGTATAGGACTTGGTTTTTCCCAACCTTTCTCAAAAATTCCCATTAACAATGGTCGCTTCAAGCAAAAATCCTCAAATTCAATACCTTTTGTATCCGTCACATCCTAAAAAGCATCCACTAATTATACTGAATCTATATGGAGAACTAGGACAATAATTTCAAACGTAAAAATATGCTAACCGTTGTCTTGAAACGCAGATCTTTAGCCGGTAGATTGAGGCTTTCCTTCCAAGACTGATCATTCTGTGACTCCGTTTTGTTGGTCATTTGCGAAACAGTAATAATAGCGTCTTATCAAAATCAATAGCAGCTGAATAGATTCTAAAAGTAACTTAACCATTTTGATGTAAAGTAACATCAAACCCAAATTAATAGTTGCTACGAAAGATCAGATTCCCGATTATCTTCATAAACCTTCGATTTTTCTTTGGATTAATTTCAACTTTGATTCTAGTGTGCTACCCCTAACTAAAATCGTTGAAAATCCTTTAAAGAAATCAGAATCAAACACAAACTTCCATACATGGCATTCGTACAATAAAATTTTAACAAATTAGTTACAAGCTAATAGTATACTCATTACTTACTGACACTGTCACGTTCTCTGTACGCAAAATCAATAACAAAAAACACGAACTTTGTAAAACAAAATTCCTTCAAATTTTACAGTATAAAACATTTGCTTCAATATGTCTACTCATAGAAAAAAGTCTCTGTAATTATATCAAAGCTTTTCTTGAAATTGCAAACTAATACAAGGCAAAATATAAAATAAGCAACCAGCATTTCATATCTAAACTACTTATATTTTGGCATTCAAGTTAGATTATGTTGAATTTAAAACAATCTACATTACTTTCAATCTTTAAATATCATTTGGAATCAGTGCAAAAACATGTTATATATCCTTGTAATCTATATTGAAGATAAAGACCTGAGATCTAGATAAATAAGTCCATAAAGATCATCCGAGGTCTAAGGAAGCAACATAATATCCCTTCCAAGCAAGATTTCTAGAAGGAGTATTCCAGTAGATCTGGCGCCCATATCACTGATCCATCCAGCTTAAATGATCTATCGCATAAAAAGGGTTCGGTCACATATCATCCTAGAACAAAATTTCTCGTATTTATCAATGAGTTCGCATATGTAAGAACCTTGGATTAATGCCAAAACACAGCTACGGTTAAATGTCAGCGGTCCTATCTGATTAAGACAAATATTTTTTTGATGAACGTTTTAGGCTACATCAATATATATAATACGTTAATTCTAAGCAGATTTCTAAACTATCTGCTATTTGTAAGTCACTCATTAATAATAAATACGAATGTTAAGGACTAAATACATCAATCCCACTTACATTTATTCAGATCTATATGATTATGATAATGTACGACTTTATCATGTAAACTTTAAAACTGCACGTCAGCAAGCACAGTAAAGACAATACAATGATGAGATATGCACCGAGTCTAATGTCACACACCAATAACTCACCTCTCAAGCTGAATGAAGAAAAAAATGTTGAACGTGTACTTTATAGAAGAAAAAGGCTCAAACAGGAACGAATAAAAATTTGAATAACTGCAAAATTTACATAAATAAGGAAATCTCGTAAAATTCTACATAAACATAGTTCTACTATATTAATCTACTGCAAGCAAATCACGTCAAACAGTTATCCATACATATTTAAACTAAAAAGAGTAAAATTTGAATAACCGTAAAATTTACATAAAATCTCGTAAAATTCCACATAAACATAGTTCTATTATATCATATATATTACAACCAAATCACATCAAACAGTCATCCATACGTATCCAAACTAAGACGGATGAAATTTAATAACTGCAGAATTTAAATGAGGAAATTTCTGAAAAATTTTATATGAGTATAACTTTATCCCAATGACTACATACAATCAACACGCCAATTTCAGCATAAATCATCATCAAAGCAAATCATGTCATTTTTTGAAAATTTCGACATAAACATATGATTATTACAATGCGTACATCACATAACTACAAACATATCTAAACAATTACTGATAGCATAATCCAGAATATATTTCCTATTACCACCTTTGTGTCAAAACCACTACGCATATACTTATGAAACAAATTGCACCATTTCTTGTTGCGCATTGCCACTGTTTTCATTGTTGTGATTTATCTTGAAAATATTTTCTAAATTACAAGTATGATCAGGCCTTACATTCACGTTTTAGCTTTTGTTTAGCAATCAAATCGGCAAGTTATTACACTTCTTTTTATGACATTTTAGATTTTTGCTCCATCAAAGCTATGACGAATTTCAACAAATAATGACTTAAATTTTGTGTAAGCAACAGAACGAGAATAAAACCCACGGGAAAGACTGTACCAGCGAATGGGAAAAGTATGGAGAGGGATGATCTGCCAATCGAACCGAACCTGTAGTGACGGTGCAAACTGAGTTTTAACGCTATGGGCCGCATTTATGGGCCACGCCCTGTACGCAATTTAATGACGCTATTTGGAAAGGACTGTTACAGGAAAAGGAGAGTTCTTATCTTTTACCTTATTTCTTATTTTTCACATTCTTTATTTTTCACGTTCCATCCTTTTCTATTTTAAATCTCTTTTCAATCGAATATACTGCATGTCAAAGTTCATTGGCATAGCTCACGTATGTTTTTGCCAAAAACTTCCAAGATTAAAGTATATGGGAAGAGCTATATTTTTTGAGATTCTAGATCAGTAAGAATGACTTTACATTCTGTTGTTGACATTTCATTCTATCACATTATCGCATCTCTTGAATTGAAATTCATTTACTCACCAAGAATCCAATTAAAATTTAGAATCTAATTTGAAGAGCTTTCAAATTATTTCCTTTCTCTTACTTTTTCTTTTTGAGAAACCAAAGGGTGAGAATTCTATTTTGCTGAAATTGATAAGCAAAAAGCTTCAAACTGGTAATTGCTTCTCGAACAAATTTTCCCATGGGTATTGTTTTTCACTTCCCATTAGTACTTTTTGCAAAATATTTTGTCCAAGTCTGATTGAGCAAAATATCATTCCTCTTCATTATATATAATTTGAATAGCTACTGTCAAGATTTACTCATTGCAGTCCATTTTAAACTATGTCAGTTATTTACCGTTGTCTTCACTTTAGTTATTTGTGTATTATTTTTTTAAATTTCAATTTGCTACTATATTTTGTGTATGTCAATATTGAAATTAGTTTCGGCATTAATTCATTCATTTTCCTTTCAGCTTCAAATTTTTGCTCCTTCGAATTCCCTAGCTCAAACATCGTATTTGACCATTTAATGAGTTTAGAAACTGTTCTCGGATTAAATTCCAAATTTTAAATTATTTTAATCCATTTCAACATTATGTCAACATGATCAATACCTCCCTTTGATCAAAGGATCCTTTCATTAACTGTTTTTCCCGCTAACTTGAAACAGTACTCAGTTTACGCTTGTAAGTTATATTTTGTAAATAATTTATTTAAAAAATCATTTAAAATTGAAATGATTTTTAAATAAATTACTTATAAAATGTCTTAAAAACTGTAACCTAGCTGGCTAAAGTATTATCTTTTTAATTAATTGAGGATTTGAAATATACTAAGAAAAATATATTTAATTTTAGTCGTTTGTGATTGTCCACCAACTATGACAAATGGGAGCATAACTGAGTTTGAAAAGCATGTTAGCAGTTTCCTTATATATCCAAAAATAGAGAAGTACTGTGTTGGTTTTAGTTATTTTGTCTTAATTTTGATTTGCTAAACTATAATTTTTCAAGCTTTTAGTTTTTTATGGCTAGTATTTGAAATCGAGAATTATCTCGAAATATGAATGAACTTGTATTGTAAATTATGTCAAATTTACATAAAAATAAAGAAGTAGTAATGCTGAAAGTAAAAATTTGTAATCTCAAAAAAAAATTTTAATTAATTTCTAATTATTTCGAATTCACGCATCAGTTTTCTGGTTTTTCAGTATGTAGCAGTTTGATAATAAATCAGCTAATTCAAATTAATTCTGATTTGAATGTAACGAAAACTTTTACTTTTTTTCTTGTTCTTTGAATTCTTCATTTGGACAAGCTTGGAAAAAGGGAAAAATTCTGGAAAAAAAAACGAAAGGAAAGCGAACAAGAAAGATGAGTGAAAGATGGAATAAAGTGCACTTTCAGTGAAATGTTCAATTCAACTTTCAGTTTTTCTGCGAACTTTAATTAATTAATTATCGGACTAAGAAGATTGTAATAACATGCACCTTTTTATCTCTAGGTGACCAAATGCGCTTAACAAGGCATTTGTTGCAACAGTTTAGGAATCATATGTTTATGGAAAAATTGAAGTATTACGAACGTTTTCGTCCACAACCAATATCATTACAAATGTATTTGGGTTTCGGACAAAAGGGAACTGTGGAAATGTCATTCAAATTTTTGCAAAAGGAACTTCTTGTTCGTTTAGCTAATATTACAAAGGTAAAATTGACTTTTTTGTCGCTTGTTAGTCAAATAAAATAACATAACTGCTGTAAAATTGTTGGATGATATTCAAAACCACATATATGGGATTATTTTGGCACTTCGTAAAGTTATGTAAAATAATGATTTTATTATATACAAGTAATGAATGAGTTCAAGAATATAATTTATATGAGGTTATTTTAGTTATTTGATATGGTGATTCCGGTCATGTAAATGTATATTGCATGGGTCCGGTCAAATGTGTAGAAATACTTTATATATAGAAAAGAAAAGAAAAAGAATGAGAACAAAACAAACGTTCTTTTACATAGATTATAATATTGATAAATCTATTCTTTAAGTATAAAGCGAGAATAAGACTACTGCTTTCATAAATGTATTTCAACTTGTCAAGAAGAAGAATGTAAGATTTTCTTTTCCCAGGAAATTGATTTATTATTTCAAAACCTACCACAGATATCTGCTACTAGCGACATACATAGATTGTATTGTCAAAGTTTTGAAGATTTATTACCGTTTGAAAATGTTGAGCCGACCGATGATAATATTAGTTCGTAAGTTCGTTCCTTCATCTTGTCATTTCCAACTTATCTTTCAAAAACTAAGGTCAAAATCTAATGATTTAGTACAGTTATTTGAGCCATTTTATTAAGTTGAAATTTGCGAACAGTTCAATTACCTAATTCATAGGCTCATAGGTTTAACGAAAAGTTGGAAAAAGTGATATTAAGACATGAAAATACCATCGAAGAAATGGCGGAAGGCATTACTCAGTTACGGCAAAAATATGGCATGAATATAATGTCAAATAATAAAATCCAGTATTCCTTGGACCGATTTTATTTTAATACGATATCTATACGAATCTTGGAACATCAACACTGTTAGTTATTCCTTCCAATTTGTGACAATTTTCAAAGGTCAAGCTGATATTTAATTTGAGATGGCATGCCCTATAACATATAGATAGATTTGTAGTTATTGAAATCTCTTATTCATTAATTTTTAATAAAATTTTCTTCCACTACGTGTACGCATTTATTTTGTTTATTCTTATTTGTTTGCTTGTTTACTCATTTAAATATTTGTCTCTTTACTTAATTATATTTTATCTATATATTTATTTAAAACTATTTGTTTATTAATCGTATCATTCATAGTAATTCCCATGTGTTTTCTGCTAAAGTCCAAACAGCAGTTCTTTCTTGGACATTTTTGAGAGTTTTATTTATATGCTATGTATAAGTTATAAATAAGCGGGAATTAATTAACTGAACTGTTAATTAAAAACTGAAGAATGGAAATTTCTAATTTTAAGAAAATTTTTATTTTGATTTTAGTGATAGTTTTTGGAACATCACTTCCAGCAAGTCCTCGACACATAGGCTGCATTGATCCAGCATGTGATGTTGCTACAGTTATTGTAGACGCCTATGATGGCGCTCGATTCATTTGTGATGGGTTAGCAATAATACTGACGAAATTCCCATTTTACTTTTTTTAAATGAAAAATATTTTCACGATTTTTTAAAATTATTTTTACATTAAACATCAGTGCAATCATTTTACTTCTGATTCGCATGATCATAAACTTATGTGCTGTTTTTTAAGATGTTATTGTGATACGCCTAAATTGCAATTCGATTCTTATAATTCGATTACACCTGGACATCCGATAGCAGTTGCAGCCATACCATCATATTTGTACCATATCATGTTTGAATTATTCAAGGTATTGATGGATTTTTTCAAATTATGTTTTAATTGCAAATTTTTATTATATTTTAATCGAGGATTTTTGCTGCGAAATTTCTCTGAAGTTTTTGCAGAACTCGATGCGCGCTACCATTGATCGTTACGGTGAATTCGAAAAACTTCCTCCAATTCAAGTACTGGCAACATTGGGTGAAGAGGATTTGACAGTTAGGGTAACTAAATGATCTATTTTGTGGAAAAGTACTAGAATAAAATATTTTCTAAATAAGGTGTATTAGCGCTGAGAGAAACTTATGAAGAATCATGATTTTTTAATATTGGAGTTTTCGAGGGAAGAAAAATTAAAAATTCGGTTATTTAGAGATCCGTAGATAGGATAATTTTAAATTTCAGGTGAGTGACAGCGGTAGTGGCATTTCTCGAAGAAAAATGGATCAGCTGTTCCGTTATAGCTACTCAACCGCACCATCACCAGAAACTGGTGATCGCAATGCAGCATTGGTAAAAAAAATGAAATTTCTAAAATTTCGATACCTTAGTTGATCTTCACTTTCTGGTTTTTAACACTTTGCTACGGTGGTATTTAAGATTTTAATTTCTAATTTCACCATTTGTCCAAGTTCGGTTATTGTAGGCAGGATATGGTTATGGCCTTCCTCTTTCTCGGTTATACGCCCGTTATTTTCACGGAGATTTAATGATTAGTTCAATGGAAGGCTACGGAACCGAAGCATTTTTGTACATTAAAGTACGTTGCATCTTTTTTTTAGTAAAATTTCTGCATATTAAGGTAGATTTGTCTCTATTTTTTTAGTAAAATTTAAAGTAAGTAAGCGATCTTCTCTGGACAGAAACGTAGTTTTTTAAAGAGCAATCTCTTGCATTTTTATGAATTTCTCATATTTAATTTCATTTTAAATTTCTAAAAGAAAATTCTAGGCAGTGCCATTTAAAGTCAGCGAAGCAAGCCCAAGATATAGTACATCATCACGAAACGATTCTTCCTCTTCATCTAATGTTTCTCAGCCATAGGATGAAAATTGACTAGAGTTCAAATCCGAAGAAAGATGAATGTATTTTTTTTGAGTAATTATTTCCTAAGTATATTTAATAGTGATCAAATTAGGAATTGATGTAGTATATATATGTATAATGAAGTGCCATTAGGTACGTTGCGATTGTGTAAAGATAAACGAATCATTTTATTAATAATTTTATTTTATGTATTTGATATGAAATCTACTCAGGCTATATGATGAAGATAATATTACCTTGCATAATACGTGGAGGAAATTTTTTCTCATGTAAAATCTTAAAACATTTCTGAAGTATATATTTAATTCAATATATATGATCTATAAGTCTTACGAGTTTTACATTCGTGCCACAAAAATGTGGCTAATTCAAATTTCACTTTAAATGATTTAGTTAATAAACAGATACATTATTTTTTTCCACACCGGTATTATTCAAATTTAATTTAATCCTTGATGATTTACTTTACATGAGATTCTCATTAATACATCACAGCAATGGTCATGTGGAATGTTGACAATGATAACAACAATAATAGCTGACATATGTCTACAGTTTGCATTTTTTTATTTTTTTCGGAGACTTTTTCTGCTATAAAAAAGTTCACAGTTTTTTTTCAGATTTTTTTTTCTATCACTTTTTTCTTATCAGAATCTTTTTTTCTGCCGTGAAGATTTGAGAATTTCTTTCTTATCGAACAGAATATTAATTGTTTAAATCTTTATCATTAGTAATACTGAGTATTTAATAGTGGTGAAAATGTTGCTAATACAAAAAATTTTTTTAAGATGCCAGGATTTCTGGAAGAATTCATATATATTCTGGAAGAATTAATATGTAATATGTAATTAATATGTACTGTAAAAAAGCCAATTGAAATTTTAGAAAAAATTGCAGTTAACTGGTTGACATTAAAACTATGAATTTATTCATATTATCATTACAAAAATCAAACAACATTTAATAGTTTGTTCTAAGGAATGGAAACACAAGTTTGTCTCTAAATTATAAAAGTAAGGCATAAGTGTGAAAAAAAAACGAGCATTCTAAAAAGTAACATTCAATTTACAATAGTTAAAATAAAGCAAATTTTGAATAAAATATGATCTAAGAAAAAAAGAAGCGGAGCTCAAAATTAATGTAAACTGAATGATAGCTGCATATATATATAATGAAAAGAGTATTATCAGGAAAATAAAGTGATCCTATCACTTATTATTTATTTCTTACTGTCACTGTAAAATGGAAAGTACAACTATAACGAGATCAAATATGCCTAATGTATTGTTTCACCCGAAAATATGCACATAAAATCAAATCCGTTTAAGATGGCTACTGGAATTAAAATTGGAATCACTGAAATAGTATTAAAACTAATTAAAATATGCAGGTTATGAATAAATAGGTTCCTAACAAAAGAAGAAAAAGATCAAATGAGGAAATTTCTGTCGATAAAAAGGACATGGTGGGATCAATGCGAAAAGAAAGGATATGAAATCAGTTGGAATTTGGAAAGTTTTAAAATTCCACCAGTTTGTTTAATTTTTTTTTCTTAAACTATTCATCCTCGTAACAGGTGGGGATAGGATTACTGAATTATTCGAATAGATATAATGGAAAAAAAAGAACGGATATCTTTCTATTTCGGCAAAAGATTTATGGTATACTTTTGGCTCTGTCTGTTTTTTTGCTGCAATTTTTTATTTTTCACAAGTGTTGCTATCATTTTTATCACGTGACTAAATCGTGCGTGCATACGTAAAGAATATGAATAATTTATGACGTAAAAGAAAAAAGCAAAATTTATTTAAACAATCTATTTATGTATAAATATATGGAAACAAATAATGTTTGAAAAAATATCAAAATATATTATAAAGTGATCAAAAAAATCCGAAAAAAAATACTTGACAAATTAATTGTCGAAAATTCTCTTAACAATCTTCAATGTGTCATTTCATTTTTAAATGGAATTATACTTACAAAAACGTTAATTTCATTTTATCAAAATTCGATAACTTTGAATGAAATGAAAAATTCATGAAAAGAGTATTATCAGAAAAATAAAGTGATACTATCACTTATTATTTCATACTGTCATTGTAAAATTGAAAGTACAACTATAACGAGATCAAATATGCTTAATGTATTTTTTCACCTGGAAATGAAGTATGAGTGTACAAGGAAAAGGAAGATAAGATATGCTGAAGAATTCAAAATAAATATATTTGATAGTTATAAATACGAAAATTTTTAAGTTTCCAAATTTATACACCTTGAAATCTTTACTAATTTAAAAATTGAAAAATTGCATGGAAGAAATCTTTTAATGAATCATTTTTCTAATTAGCTTTGATATCCTTTACTCCTTTTCCATAAATGAAAAAATCATCTTTCCCGTAAAGGGATAATTAAAGAATAGATGAATCTCTTTTTTCTATTCTAACATAATAAAAACAGAAATTTAGACAGTGAAATGAAGGAGAACTTGAATTTTTAAATGAATTAAATTTTTTCAAGATATTATCTAGTCCGGCATTACAAAAAAATGAAGAACAGTAATCACTAATTAAGTCAATTTAAAAAAGATTGCAAAAGACTTAGACGCTGTACTGAAATTTCGCAATTAATACAAACATTCAATTCAAATTTTAGATATCTATTGAATCTAATATATCATTAAAACTGCATAAAGCTAAAACGAATATACAAATATTCTGTGCTTATTTCACATACATTTTACGCTTATTTAAACGGCAACCATGTTTTTTGCTCGAATTCTTCAACTTATTGGCTTGAAGGAATGAATAAATTACAGTGAATAATTGAAGATTTATTTTCATTTCCGAGAAACTGAAATTTCACCACATTAAATTTTTGACAATTACTGTCACAAAAAATGCGCTTAAACTGTCCTCTTGGACTAGCTAATTATTAAGCGTAATTTTTTTTGGTTTTTAAAATAACATTTGTACAAGTCTTATTTTTTTCGCATAGTTTCAAAAACTTCATTTGTCATTTTTGATTTTCGTGAAAGATGAAGATGAAACAAAATTTGAGCAATACAAAGTTTTTTTTAAAAAGTTTATGAATAATAAACTTTTAGCTTCATTCCTCTTTAGAAGGTGAGATTGTAGAATATTTGGATCGAAGAGCTATTAACGTGCTCATCCGTTGACCTTGCTTCCATTTATTTACAACAACCGAAAGCAATGTGAACACATTGCAGCAAGCTACCAGGAAAAATCCGTATGCAAGAATTAGCACCTGTAACATAACATTTTATTATTGAGCTAAAAGATTATATAGTAGGATTTTAGACGTAAATGAGCCTATCATATCTTTTATCTTCCCAACAACATTTCCGATTCACTTAATTATTCGGTAAGATGATCAATCATGGAGCGAGCCAGCCAACAATCAAAGATTTGTAACTGATAAATTTTCGATTAATAGAAAATAATCCAAAAAGAGTTTGATTAAAAAATTACCTGCCACTGATTAACACAAATTGGTGCTTTTGATAGATAATATAATTTATAGGAATTGTAGAACTGGAAAACATAAGTTAACATAAGGAAAGGTATTAAAAAAGTTAGTCCTTTGAACATCCAACTGCTAAATCCCTCTGAAATAAGAAATGGCACAAAAATAAGAAGCAATTTAGACTGTAATTTAAACATCCATAATTTTCTTTCGATTTCCCTTACCGACAGATATATCCATGCTGTATCGTTGTCCTAATGCATGCAAACGTCGCAGACAGCCATTTTGATAACGGCATTGCAAAAGCTAAAAATAAAAATTTTACATTTTATAGAGAATAATCAATGAAAGACAGAAATTTTGCTCAATAGTTTGATAAGAATAGTTTGATACAAAGTAAATATAATAACGAACCTGAACAAAAAACAGAAAAAAACAAAACATGATAAATTGTGTCCGAATACTTCGATAACATTCGCCATCTCCCCATGTTACAGTTATACCGGAAAGTACGCAAGAAACGTAATGATGCATTATCCACCACCCTTTAATCCTAAAATTATTATTAAAAGAGCTTTATTCCTAATAATTCCAATACTGTTTATAGCTGGAAATTTTTAGAAAAGAAATTACAAGACATGATACCTTGATCCATTAATTCGTAATATCGCTTCACGTATTGTTAATGTGCAATAAAACCATACCAACATGAAATTTATTACTAAATCAAGAATTCTAAAATAAAAAAAATGCAAAATTCATGATGACAAATGTGAAATCACTGGGTTATTGGATATTAACCATAGTGATAATATAACACAGGAATGGAATTTAAGTTGTTCTGTATTGAAAAAGATATTATGTATAGTTAAACGATACTTTCCTTTTTCCTAAATGAAAAAAAAGAAAGAAAAATGAACCTGGATGTAAATATGTAAGCAAGAAAGAGAACAAAGAGTAGCGTACAGTTTACAGTAACTTTAAACTTCTCATATTCCTGTTTATATCGATAACGATCATTTTTATTCATTAACGACACATTTAAATTACTTCCCAAAATAATCGATAAATATAACCTGAAATTGTAACAATTTCTACTTCATAATTAATTATTGTCATCACAAACGAATGTTTTTTTATGTTTCATTTAATTTTGGTTTCCAAAATAGAGACAGTCTGACTCAATGATGCAGAACTTTTAAGAAGCATTCATATATTTCATTACAAAATGTACAAAATTTTATAGAATATCTAATTATAACATTTTACTTACCCATTATCTTGCACAGGTAATTCACCCTTCATATCTTGCGATCTCCTTTCTAATTCTGCGATACCTTCTTTTACTTTTTTCAAATATTCAGCACTTTCAGGTTGCTCCTTACCTTTCAACCTAAAAATAAATTTGGACTATAATTTGATCACATGTCTTTTAAAACCGTATCCTAAAAAAGAAAAATAAATCCAAATTTTCAAACACTAGATTTAAATTTAATTGAACAAATCAAACAACCCTCTCAGAGCTTCTCGTATTTTGGATATCTGATATAGGCAATGTCTCACTGCTTTTTGACAGTCGTCTTGCAACTTGGACAACTGTTTTAATTTCCCCAAATATATACGATGACGGTCCTGTAATTTTTTTTTCAGGCTGTTAATTAAAAAATAATGTTAACGGTATTTCATCCAAGATTCTTTTGCCTAATTTACTTCTCAATTAAAATCACTCAATTAATATGCAAGTACAATACAAAAATATAAATACATACCATGACATCCCACAAATTATAACGATTAAATTATATCATTATTTCAAAAGATTATCTCCTCAGGTTTTCAGTTTTTTTTAAATTTCTAACTTAAAATTATATTTTTTCGAAAAAATTCTGAACCTCAATTCCTTCAAATTCATCTTTCAATGAACGCCATTCATCGAATACACGCTCAAATGGACTTTCATCATCCCCCATAGCTAGCAATTCCTAAAAGGTAAAATATTGATGATAGACAATTTGTAAACTATATAACATAAGCAAAACTTTAATTTATCTTTTTTTTAAAAATAATTTCGAGGAAATACTTCATTTATTCTCTCATCACATGATATTTTCTATATTAATGGAAAATCGGGCAAGGAAATGTGATATTTATAAAACTATTGGCGAAGGGACAAAATTCAAATTGTTATGGAAAAAAATGTTTGAGAAAAAAATAAATAATTATAATATACCCGCGAAATTTGGAGAATATTCAATGTTTTAAGATATTGCAATATCAAATGTACCAAAAGTATCTGTTATCCCAAAACAGATATTTCGATTTTCTGTTAACCGAATATATGACTACTGAAACATTAAAACTAGGAGCGCACTGACCAAACAATACTACAGTTGTAATTTACGATAAATATTAGCAATATGATATTCATAGATTCGAAAAATAAATTATACTGTAAAGTGGAAAAATAAAGCTCAGAAAGGATCACAGAGTTATACTGGTCAAAACGGGAAAAAGGTTGCAAAGAAGAAACTTCTTCTTTGAGAAAAATTGAATTTACAATCTTATCTGTACAGTAACTTTATGAAATATATGAAAGAAAATTTAAAAAAAGAAAAGGCTCATAAAATAAAGGAAATGGAAATAATTTATCATATTCGATGAATCATTTTGGTATCGGACATACATGAATAAATGACATTACTGGAAAAAAATTGAAATGGTACGAGAAAAGATGAAAGTAAAGATTTTTCTTAAAAAAAAGTATTAGAAAAATATAAGGTATGAAATGATAACGACAGGAGTTTTAATGATAATAATGATATCAGCAAAAGTGATACCACTCAGATCAATTACTATTTAAGAATGATATTATTAGGGATGACACCCAAATTTGCAGTACCATTAAAGAGGATATAGCAAGTATAATAATAATAACCATTAGGAACATTACGGTAATAGAACTAGAATACTACAATGGTATATTAATATGAATTGTTGTAATTTACAATTTCTCCGATAGGAAATCGATTATTATCAATTCTCATAACTAATCAGTCATATGTCTGCTGTTTATTTTTCTTTTTTTCACATTTGACCTCATAAATATTATTTTGAAAATAAGCAAAAGTTTATAAAAAGATTTCAAATTTAGAAATTAGATGATGAAATTCGAAAATTATTAGGTGATGGTAGCAATTAGTAATGAAATATCTCTAACATGTTGTTATGTTATATTTTATAAACGAATTTTAAATGATCATCAATTTTATACAAATAATTAATTACAACACATATTCAAAAATTAATAGTGTAATAATTCATTTTAGAAAAAATGAATGAATTCATAACAAAACATGAATTTTACTGATGTGAAAGATTGAAATTCACTCAACAATAATGGAACCAAAAAAAGAAAACACCGGACTACTTTCATAAAAAATTAAACATTTTAAAATTTTAGACATTTATAAATAATTTGTCCTCAATAAACTTCAATAAAAAGTACTCTCTTTGAATGAAATTATTGCTTTCTTCATTTTCCTTCCCATTAACTATCAATTTCACACATCGATTATCTTTTTCTTTAGAAGAAAAAAGAAAAAAACAAGCGAAAGTGATTGATGACAAGAAAAGAGTGAAACTATTATATTTCTAATCACTGCAAAAATTAGACTTTAAATTTTCGGCACAATTTAATTCATAATGTTTGGAAGGAATTTAAAGAAAAAAAAGGAAAAAAGAGAAACAAAGAAAGAAATGATTAAAAATCGCGACAAACAATTTCTTAAACTAAAAATTTTTCCTTCGATAAATATGATATGTCAAGTTGAAGCATTAACACACATTTACATTCCTTCCCCGTTATCATTTTATCGTATATACTTTATCGTGTATACATTACAAAAAAATTGTACACGTTATAAAATTTTTGAAAAATTGATTTATTCTTGAAAAAGAACGAAATTTATGGAAAAAGAACCAAATATAATTATTAAAGTAAAATTAGTGAAATATTGAAATATCAGCATAAAAGATAAGAAATTCTCTACAAATGATTCCGTTTCAATTTGAAACAAAAAAAAAAGTATTCCATGATAACTGATTAAAAAGAAATTCAAAATAGCGTCACAGACTAAGGGAAGAAAGATGATTCTAGGAGAAAAATGATTTGTTTATACTCGAAAATAGGTCAAAAACAAAAAAACATGTTCACAATTTTCTTCAAGTTTAAGTCAATATCAATGAATCCGATGACTGCGCTAAACTTTCTAAAAATATCTATCCGCTTATTTCTTAAAACTGATGAATAACAACACACTGCTCAACAAATCAAAGAATAGCAGCTTTTCTTCCCATTTAGATTATCGAACAAAAGAAAAAAAAAGAAATTTAAGACATGCTCTTTCCCTCTTTGGAAAATCTAATAAATCCCTCAAAAATTTCCGTTTCTCGGAATTTCTATCATATCAAAAGAAAAAGACGTCTGCATTGATTTTCAGCAAAGGAAACCGATCAGAAAAAATTTTGCAAATCAGTAAAAATTTTTATAGAATTTCATTGTAACTATTCACAAATCATACGCTAATGCACTGCAAAATATATGAATATTATGCCGAAATAACTGTCACTCTATTACAATGGGAATAAT